GTGTGGAGACCTCATAGCAGCCTTTCAGTATCTGAAAGAGGCATGTCCTGTTTGATGCCTGGACAACTTCTAATTCTTCCTTGTCTCTTTTGACCCAACCTAATAGGCTAGATATTTAGGCTAGATATTTAGGCAAGATATTAGGAAAACCTTTTTTCCTGTGAAGGTGGTGAGACACTGGCACAGGTTGCCCAGGGAAGAAGTGGATGCCCCAACCCTGGCAGTGTTCAACGCCAGGCTGGATGAGTAACCTGATCCTAGTGGGGAGGTGTCCCTGCCCATGGCAGGGGGTTTGTGATTAGATCTGTAAGGTCCATTCCAAGCCCTGAAATCCTGTGATTCTATGATCTTCAGTAGTCTCTTTTATGTTACATATAGTCATGGTAATAGTACAAGCACCTTTCCTATTTGCTTTGGGGTTTTTGTCATAAAATTCTGTTAAAATATTATAAGGAGGCTACTAGATAAAAGCAGCCTAAAGTTGAAATTCAGTAATGTGCTAAAAAGTGAATGATAGAAATGTTCATCGAGCTATTTGAAATGGAATTTAAGAAAAGAAATGTTAACCTGCAGTAATACATGATGTGCCCTGTGTTTGGCTTCAGGACTGAAGCCAGGCAGCTAGGGGGAGAGGAAGGGAGGAGTAACTTCAACATCAGCTAAAGAAAACACAAGTGGATTGGAGCACCTGCTCTGGGTAACTTCAGTAGCCATTGTTTTAGGGTGCAGCTTTCCTAAAACTCATCCAGAGCATGCTGGTGTACCAGTTACTGGTAGAACAGTAGTAACCTGTGATACTGGCTGGTTTTGAATTAGCTAAGGAATATCCTCTATGAAATATAATGCTTACTCTGTTGGAACTTACATAAGTGAGTATTGAAAATTTTTCAAAAACAAGTACCATAAGGTAAAATCATGTTTCGAATTAAGTGTTCTGGCATGCCAGTGTATTCTCTTCCTGCAGTATGCTGGCTTGTTTCTGCAGTAAGTACATCCCTGGTACATATTCTCAAAGTAACAGAAACATAAGATAGACCTTGGGGCCATGGGCTTCTTGGAGAGCTGGTTACATAGATAGACATAGGAGATTTAAAAAGCTTTCTACAAGCCCTGGCCATCAGCGTACATCTGGTGTACAGCAGAGCAGTGGACAGCATAGCTGAAAAAGAGAGTCCAGAGGTTCAGTACATTTTAAGTGGAGCTGGCCCTTTAATAGTTCTGAAAGGAAAATCATCTTTCCTGGGTTACAGTCTAAAAGGCGTGAGAATTTAGATGTCCTGTGTCCTGCAATCTGGGTACTTTGGACAGACGATGTGAGTGAGAAATAGTCCATCCACACATGCAATGCCTCTGTTTCCTGAGAGCTGCACTGACCCAGAGGAACAGCACTGAGAATGCAATGGTGAAGACCTCAAACAGATTTCACAGCCTGACAGTTAATGCTTCTTGCAGATAAAACCTTGCAGCCTCAGAGCAAAACTGATTGTTACGTTTTTTTTGCCTTTGTCTTTTGTGAAAATTATTCTGAGAAAATGAAGCATGAATACAAAGATATTTTTGAGCTTCTTATGATTGCACAACAGATTTTAATTTGAACCAAGCAACCTCTGAGTGAGTGACTTAGAGAGGATGCACCCCAAAGAGTACAGCAGAGCATTTCTGAGTCAGAGATCCTTACTGCGTTTGGTGCAGGGACAGGAGCTGGCATTAATCCCTGCAGCTCCTGAATCACACAGCATTAACCAAGACACTCAGTAACCACTGCTCATAGAAAAAATTCTCTGTCCAGTGTTCTTGCTGCCTGCTCACTGAATGTGAGATGAGATTTAAACCTTGTGGCTGTTGGTGAGACTAGACAGAAGGCAAAGACAGAGCTACAGTGCCTGCCCTGCAGTTAGCAAGTGTCAATCCCAAGGTCTAGATGTCACAGCACTGGCAAAGCAGGGTTGTCTTAAGTACCCAAGGCTTTTCCTGATGGAACTGTTTATTTGCTGTATTCTTTCAGGACCCTGTCAAAGATGGTGAAACAAAAATCAAGGCGGACTATGCTCAGCTGTTCGAGGACATGCAGAATGCATTTCGCAGTCTGGAAGACTAGACTCGACCTCTGTGATCGCTCCAGTTTGTCCTCTCAGTTTCTCATCTCAGCTCCTCTGCTTCCCTACCTTACAAGAATGATGGAACAGTACTTGAGTTGATAAACAACCCTATGTTTTCCCTGTTCATACTCAGAGAGTGTCTTTACAAAACATTCCTCTTAGTTTGTATTTGGCATTGCTTTGTGTGTCTGAAATGGTGCGTGATGTGTGAATGGGCCTGGCTGAATGAGGAAATGCTGTTGTACACTTCTAGGGTGGGAAAAAAATTCACTTTTCCTCTCCCAGCTCTCTTGGTGACCAGTCTTTCACTTAGGGATATAACCAGTTGAGCTGTACTGGCAGAGGAGGTGTAGGTCTTCATGCAGTCATGCGGTACATTGTGAGCTGGCAGTGGTAAGGGCATTTACACCTGGCACTTTGCTAAGCAACTATCATAGAACTCCCTGTTCTCAAACAGAATTTTTGACAATATTCTGACGACGCTGATACAACCAAAAGTTCTTCACTACTCTGTCACTTCTGAGTCTCTCAGCTGAGTCTGTTGGTACTGAAATGTGGTAGTTACGGTTCTCTCTAAGAAGGAACTCACTAGAAGATGAGCATGTGAAAGTGACCAGTATAATTTGGTGCACTGGAGAAATCTTCGTACTTAATACAGCTAAAATCAAAGCCATAGGTGCTCAGCTTCCAGCAGAATTTTACCTTCTTGGCTCCCACTTGCCCCATAAAATTTCCTGATACTCAGTTGCTTTAGTTTGTGAAGCCTGTGACTGCTGCCATCTACTGCAGTGCATAGGCAGCAAGTTACAGTGATGCCATGTGTGTGGATCAGGACACAGTCCATCCTTGGTGCTGCTCTGTCTGCCAGTGCAGTTACCTCGCAGTCCAATGCCCAGGTCATGCCAAGGAAAGGAAAGCATGTGCTTTTAGCCTTCCTCCTCCACCTGTGCTCATGGGGCCTGTTTGGTGGTGGCACAGAAGGTCCCCAGTTCCTGTGTAAGAGGAATGTATGATGCTGAACTGGAGGCAGGGGATGAATGGGGAAAGGTTGATGAGTACAAGATGCATTTACTCCTCTTGCCTTGTTGATGACAATGCAAGAGAAACCAGTGACTGATACTTTGCTCTGTGCTCTGGAAGCACTCTGTCAAGCAGCTGAAAGTGCTCAGTCTTGGGCTTGTTTATTGGCAAAGCTAGAATGAGCAGAGTGCAGCCTTTCTGTCCAACTCCCTGAGCCCAGCACTCATCCCATTGCTGCAGAGCAAGAGAGAAAGAGAAATGCTGGCATCTTCTCCAGTCTCTCCCTCTTGCTTGCATCAGGTGGCATCCAGTGCTGCTTGGTTGTGCAGCATCCTGTGCCCAGCTGAGTTCCAGCTGACATCTACTGCTTTGTTGCAGTCATGCGCCAGTACCCATTGTTGGTGACACTGTGCCTACGTGAGCGTTAATTCTGCACTGAAGTATCTCCACCAGCTGCCAGCTTTGAACAGCAGTGACACAAAGGGGTCTTGGGCTATGGACCAAATGCTGCCACTTCCATTATGGTATCAACTCGCTGTTTGTCACAGAAGAGCCCAGCTGAAGCTTAAAGGGATTAACTATTTTTGGTTCTCCCAAAAGAAACTGCTCCTCCAGCTGATATTCTGGTAGTGAATGCTTAAGTTTACAGTTCACTAAGCTTTTGGTGTATGCTGCTTATTTTATCAATGAGCATGTGTGAATGAGTAGTCACCATCCAAGCCCTTGCTGGGTGGCTCATTGTTCATACCCTTCACCACTGTACAATGTAGCATTTCATGCTAGAAACCAGATGTTCTTATCTCTTTAAATAGAGGATGTTATAAACTTTACAGAAGATGTCTAAGATAATGCAGTTCTAATATTTATTGTGCTGTACCTGGCCCTGAAGTGTGACCAGTTCAAACAGTTTCATATATATTTTCGTCTTTTTTGTTTTGTGTCTGTTTTCAGTGTTGAGATTCTGATGTTCACTGTGTCCTGCAAGTCTTCCCTCCACAGCTGTGGGAGGAATTACAAGATGGGCAGAACCCACCACCTACTTTATCTTGTATATTTCATAATGTACGTTGCTGGAAACTGCGTTTAAAAAAAAATTTTAAAAAATTGTTGAAGTCAATGAAAATAAATTTGATTTAAAGTAGGTCTTATTTGTCCCATTTTCTTAGGTCAAACCAAACCTGTGCCACGGTGATGTACACAGCAGACAATCATGGAAACTTACAGCTTGCTTAAAAATTACTTCATCATTTTAGGGATTTCTTTGAGACTGTAAGCAGTGGTGGGGCAGGGATGCTTTACTTCAGGTCTCCCATTCCAGTACAGCCTGTGTAATCTCCTCAGACATTATGTGAAAGTTATAATGTAGGAAATAACTCTTGAGGCATTTTTAGGGTTACTTTTATTACAAGAAAAGTGTAACTGTAAGCTTGCCTTTTGCTGCCATACATGCTAATGCAACAATTTTAATTGTACCGTTATAAGGCACTTGCTAAGCCCTAAAATATTTTCCTGCCATGTGCCTCATGCTGTACAATATACACCCTAAAATCTCAGCTGTGTTTTAAACAGATAAGAAGATAAGCAGCACTGCTGGCCACAGCAACTCCTCTACAGAAGGTTTCAACTCCTTATTTAAAACAGCAACAGATAAATTAAGAACATATTAAAAATACCACATTCGGGTTCATTTGACCACTGTGTTAAACCTCTTTGGAAGAAATGTTCTGCTATTTTATAAGCAGTTACAGCAAGCTGAAGGTGTTCAGGAAATTCCATCAACCTCACAAAGGGGTGGAAGTCACAAGCTCCATTCCTGCGAACCACAGACTAGCCAGTAGTTCTCTGTGGATATTAAGAAATCCCTGGAGTGAAGTGATGAGTTCAGGGTTTGGCAGTTTGGAAGTTACCAACTGGCAGTGTCCTCACTTCATCCACTCGACTTTTATGGATCTGGAAGGCTGGTGTCACCCAGCAGCCACAGGAACACTGCTCACCCCTCCAGCTGAAGGAGCCCAGCTTCGATCTGCATTTGGGACACAGCAGCTGCAAGAAAAACACAGGACTCTGTCTAAGGTGTGCACAGGTGTAATCTAGTTAAAAGCAGGCCAAAAAGCTCAACTAGGATGGCCTTTTAGCTCTGGGGTGCAGCAGGCAGCTGTGCTGCCAGAAGGGAGGGTGGGGAAAATGCAGCTCGTGTAGTTCCCAGGACAGTTTTACCAGGGTCCAGAAGGGCTCAGTCAGCCTGAGACCACAACAGTTTTTTCAGTGCCACAAATGTTTCTCATACTAAAAGAGTGGATAAACCCTGCCCAACACCCTGGCTGGTGTTCCCAGCCCAACCAGAGCAGCAGCTCCTTTCCTTGTAAAAGGGTATTTAAGAATCTGTCCCCAAGCCGCAAAATTCAGGACAAAAAGGGTGGGAGACCTAGGTCCCTGTGCGAGGGCTTTACTTTCAGGGAACAGATGCAGTTTATTCTGCCTTTGCAGAAAAAACGAAATCCAAAAAATTTAGCACATGCTTTAGTACATGCTCTGCTTCACCTGTCCTTCCAACACTCCAAGCAGTGCTGGCTCCATCCACTGCACAGGCTCAATGAAGTAAGAGGTGCACTTTTCATGGCCATTGCCACAAAGCTGCATAGAGTCTGTTATCCTCTTGTGGGCAAAGGCTGTCGGTCCACTCCCTTCCACGTGGGACAAAATGCTGGAACTTCGGAACAGAGCGCGTCTGTCCTCCGTGACACGGCGGGGGGGGAAGGTAAAATAAATGTCAGTTTTTAAAACCGGACAAGTCTACAGACAATAGAAAACAGGGACATGAACCTCCTGACAGTAAGTAACCAAACACGAGTAAAAATTCTACATTTTTTAAAGTTAGTCTAGAAGGTTTGGGCACTGACTCCATTCAGGGTGGCTGCTGGACAAACTTTGGGATTTTTGTGGTTCAGGGCTCTGCCCCACAGCTGTATGCTGTCTTTTACACAGATCTGTTTTTAAACCATATACTTGAAGAAGCCTACACCTAGCACACAGCAGGATCATTCAATTTCATTTTATGCAACCCAAAAAAGGAAGTTAAAACACAGTGAACCCCAAAATTTTCCCGAAGTCTCTTCTGGAGAAACCAATTGTCAAAAAACAAACTCAGTGAAGGTTTCAGAGTAAGGACCCCACAGTGCCAAGTGTGATTATGCCTGCCCATAGAACACGGCAGATTAGGCAGCATAAACACTGCACCACTCCAAGGAACAAAAGGACTTGTACATGGTACTTTTATTTGATGGTTTTTTGGCACACACATTGTGGAAGCTTAGGCAAGAGCTCATCCCTGACCTGACAATCATGACATGCCCACTGACTTACATGGGCTATTCTTGAGTGGATTTCACAGTGATATTTTAAGGAGAAACATAATGAGTATTTTATACACATATAAAAATACATATTTATTATAAATACAAAATACCTGCATTTCCTGCATCTGTAGAGAACCTCTGTGCTCGGAGTTTGACACGTATTGGTTGGATCAACAGCAAAGACTTCTCGAGGCAAGTCTTGAGGTTCTGCAGAGGAGTCAGTACCAAGCTGTGAATCAGACCTACACAGCCACACTGCATTCCTGGGCAGGAGACAGGACTGCTCCTCCATCCCAGTCACAGCACACAAGAGCCACATTCTCCTCTTTCACTTGTTCTCTCACCAATTCCAATAGATTAAGCTAAAAATGAAAGAGCCTTATCCCACCACGCCTAAGACCGGGATTCGTTTAATTAATTCCCTTCCTTCCCTTGCAAGGAACTGGGATCTAGACTATGGCCTTAATAATGGTAAAATACTTGTATTTTGCTTTATGTTCTTAATTAAACAGGAAGTAAAGGCAGAGGAGCAGTTAGAAAAGTTCTGCCAATCTTTTAGTGCACACGATACAGAAAGTCACCTTAAAATGGGAACTGCTAAGGACAATGACACATAAAGGGCAACAGCACTGTCATACTGGGTATGCAATGCCAAGATCTTGCAAGAAAAGCGACAGATTATTATTTTATTATAACTTTACACATATGCACACGTGTGCACATCTATTACAGTCACTCTTTGGCAAATTAAAGTATGACAGTTTACTTCATACCTTGATTCAACTTTATTTCAAGTTTTGTGTGCTATTTTCATTTCTTTAATCTCACTGACTTCTGAAGATGTTGTTTGCTCAGCCAAGGACATAAGTATCACAAAATGTGATCTCTTCCTATTATCCAACCTAAACCTCCCCTGGCAGAGCTTGAGTCTGTGCCCTCTTGTCCTACTGCTAGTTCCCTGCGAGAAGAGACCAATCCCGATCTGACTACAACCTCCTTTCAGGTAGCTGTAGAGGGTGATAAGGTCACCCCTGAGCCTCCTCTTCTCCAGGCTAAACACCCCCAGCTCCCTCAGCCTCTCCTCGTAGCACTTGTGCTCGAGTCCCTTCACCAGCCTTGTTGCTCTTCTCTGGACCTGCTCTAGCACCTTAATATCCTTCCTGAACTGAGGGGCCCAGAACTGCACACAGTATTCAAGGTGTGGCCTCACCAGCACCAAGTACAGGGGCAGAATCACCTCCCTGGTCCTGTTGACCATGCTGTTCCTGATCCAGGCCAGGATGCCACTGGCCTTCTTGGCCACCTGAGCACACTGCTGGCTCATGTTCAGCTTCCTGTGTATCCAAACTCCCAGGTCCCTTTCTGCCTGGCTGCTCTCCAGCCACTGTCCCCAGCCTGCACTGCATGGGATTGTTATGGCCAAAGTGCAGGACCAGCACTTGGCCTTGTTGAACCTCATCCCATTGGAATCAGCTCATCTCTCCAGCCTTCCCAGGTCCCTCTGCAGAGCCCTCCTGCCTTCCAGCAGATTGACTCTCCAAAGTGAATGCCTGGCCGACTCCAGGCCCAGCTGCTTTGAGAGCGACACGCAAAGCCAACCCCTTCAGCGCTCATTTCGGGACAGGCTGGTCCCACCCTCCTTGCGAGACCCCAAGCCTCGCTCCGTGCAGCCTCCCCAGCTCCCA